CTGAGGCACCCAGGCGCCCCTCTCAATGTGGTTTTGATTTGAATTTCCCTGATGGCTAATGATGATGAACATTTTTTCATGTGTCTGTTAGCCATTTGTATGTCTTCTTCAGAGAAGTGTCTTTTCATGTCTTCTGCCCATTTTTTGACTTGATTATTTGTTTTTTGAGTGTTGAGTTTGAGAAGTTCTTTATAGATCTTGGATACCAGCCCTGTATCTGTAGTGTCATTTGCAAATATCTTCTCCCATTCTGTGGGTTGCCTCTTTGTTTTGTTGACTGTTTCCTTTGCTGTGCAGAAGCTTTTTATCTTGATGAAGTCCCAAAAGTTCATTTTTCCTTTTGTTTCACTTGCCTTTGGAGATATATCTTGAAAGAAGTTGCTGTGACCGATGTCGAAGAGGTTACTGCCTATGTTCTCCTCTAGGATTTTGATGGATTCCTGTCTCACATTGAGGTCTTTCATCCATTTTGAGTTTATTTTTGTGTGTGGTGTTTGAGAATGGTTGAGTTTCATTCTTCTGCATGTGGCTGTCCAATTTTCCCAGCACCATTTGTTGAAGAGACTGTCTTTTTTCCATTGCATATTTTTTCCTGCTTTGTTGAAGATTATTTGACCATAGAGTTGAGGTCCATATCTGGGCTCTCTATCTGTTCCATTGGTCTATATGTCTGTTTTTGTGCCAGTACCATGCTGTCTTGGTGATCACTGCTTTGTAATATAGCTTGAAATTGGGCAATGTGATGCCCCAGCTTTGTTTTTCTTTTTCAACATTTCCTTGGTGATATGATGCTATTTTAAATAAAATTTTTTCTTCATTTAATTTTCAGACTGTTCATTATTAGCAATGGGATTTTAGTTGATATTTGTGTAGTGATATTTTGTCCTGCAAATTTCCTGAACTCATTTATTTGCACTTACAATTTTTAGGTGGATTCCTTAGGATTTTCTATATACCTGATCATGTATCTGCAAAAAGTGATAATTTCCTTTTTCCTTTATAATTTGAATGCCTTTTATTTCATTTTCTTGATTTTTTCCCTGCCTAGAAACTCTAACATAATGTTTATTAAAAGTGGAATGACAGGGGTGCCTGGGTGGTTCATTGGCTGAGCGTCTGACTCTTGACATTGGCTCATGTTGTGATCTCGGGGTCCTGAGATTGAGCCCCACTTTGGGCTCTGCACTGGGCATGGTTCCTGCTTGGGATTCCCTCTCTCTCTCTCCCTCGGCCCTTCCCCTGCCTTCTCTCTCTTTAAAAAGAAAGGAAAGGAAAGGAAAGGAAAGGAAAGGAAAGGAAAGGAAAGGAAAGGAAAGGAAAGGAAAGGAAAGGAAAGGAAAGGAAAGGAAAGGAAAGG